GAACTGGAATTAACAGTTTTGCTATGAAACCTTTTCAGATCAATTTCAACAAACGTTTCAACTAAAGTTTTCGTCAATTAGTAATCACAATAGCATTTTCACAGGAAATGTAATTCCTCTGGTTTTATTTTTTAATGTCCTACAGGCTCTGAGGAAAAATAAATTTGAAGCCGTTTATGAAAAAATCTATGAGTGCCCTAATTGTCTGTATACCTGCGAATGAGGGAAAATCTGTGTAAAGTGTCGACAGTACACAGGAGGAACAACACAAGAACAAAAAGCTTAAGCCCTCCCCGTCGGGGAATCGAACCCCGGTCTCCCGCGTGACAGGCGGGGATACTCACCACTATACTAACGAGGAGATGTTACATGCAGTGTCTTAATTCATGGCCTGCATGCTCTTGAGTGCACATTTGTCGGCTGCATACGTCACTGCCCCACGCCAAGTGGAGTCCCAATATGAAGGCTCTTCATCATGCGACCGAGGAATGCGGCCCAAAACATCTCGAAATCCGAGGACGCCTTCGTGTATCTTCACGGGCCAAGGATATCCCAGGATTCAATGCATCAACAGCAAACTAAACAGACAAACAAAGACAGTGAAGTTATTTTTTAAACAGTATCATAGTTTGGAAATTTACCACGAATCAAAGAAATTGTTTTTAAAAGTAAGTTTATAAACTTAACTGATGACATTTATGCTGCAATAAGATGTTGAATAAAAAAAGCAACTACTACATGGAGCTAAAATGAATTATTAGTTTTTTTTACATGTAACATTTTAACTGTATTCTTCCAGTGAAAAGACATGTAAATATACTGTACGTCCTAAAGCATTTTAAGTCCAAAATGAAACTGATCACTATGTTAAAGGTTGAGCGCGTAGTCACGCAAACGTAGGTCAAGCCGACATCAAGAAAAGGTTAGACCACATGTCAAACACAAGGCCAGTGACTCCCGTGGGGCCCGCCAGAGACGGTACATCCCACCGCAATAAATAAATAAATAAATAAATAAATTTTTTGTACTTAACATGAAATTTTTTTCTTATATCAATGGTAAACTTTAAATTTAGGGTTAAATGCAACAAAATTAATTTAATAAAATTAAATGAAATAAAAATAATTAAAAACAATTCCTGTCCCTGAGCTGTTGGCTTGAAGTAAATGAGCAATTTAGTTGGATAGCACAGTACTAATGTCGGAAAAAAAGCTGCTTTAAAGTCACCATCAAACATGAACTAAATCTGCCATAATGCCGCTACTCACTAGAAACTCATCATTGAGTAAAACTTTGTTTTACTTTTAATAATATTTCTGTATTTATTTCAGATTTTGTCTGTCATATACTTAGTTCTTATCAGTGTTTAAAAGAGGACGTGTTAAAACTGTTTAGTCAAAGTTAAACATGAAACATTAAAGTTCATTACAAGTGGCCCTTCGAGGGCCACCTTAACACTCATGTGGCCCTCGGTGAAAATGAGTTTGACACCCCTGGGCTAAACCGTCTCATTTTCCAGCAGTTTTAGGCAGCCTACCACGACTGGGAAGGACGATGCACACGTGGCCCAGTTGAGCTACGTGCTCATAAGCACCCAGCCCATGAATAGATAGTTCTCATGTGACGTAATATTTCCAGGCATTCCCAGCCAAAGCAACCATGTTTTAAGGCAAATCTTGCATTAGATACGACTGAGTGCATCCTATTATCAAGAAGATTTTTTTGTAATTATGTTATTTTTAATTCATTTTTTTGCATAACTGACAATGGTTATTTCATGTTGGGTGAACGGAAAGTGCAGATGGTTCAGCATAGTGCAGTTTTCACAACATCTAAAAAAAAAAAATCAGAAAATACAAAGTATCTCAAATTATGGAGTTGAGAGCTGAACATTGGTGAGTCAGGCTTGGATACATCAACCACAAGATCAGCCAATGACAACGTCAAGAATCTRCWCTGATCACTTTTATTCCGGTAGAAAAATGTTTGTGCTGGAACCATTTTGTTCATGATTTAGTACGTCTGTTGTGGTTAGCTTAGCTACATTATACTAAACCTCCACACCGTAAACACTCGCTCCGCCTTTGTAGACAATTACAGTATGGTATATGACAATATTAAGAATTAATTGTTTTTAAGAATTTTAAGATTTACTTGCTTTGGCACAATTCAGAAAGGGATAAAAAATGTCCTAGTCATTAGTGTTGATAACATTTTATTGGCATCTGGCTTGGTGGTTAACAGTCACTTCACAGCGTCCTGAGTACACTTCCCAACCTCTAAGTTGTGGCTAGACTCATTTTGTTASGTTGGTAATATTTACAAAGCATGTGTTATTTTACAACTTACAAGTATCAAAGGACATCATAGTGAAAATATTGTAATATTGAGAAAAATATCAGTCATGTTTACTGTAGCACTGACTAACCAAATTAGCAAAGCATCTTATCAGGAAAAACAGCATTTTCAGAAAGTCCGGAGTAATTATGATGAGTCTTACAAGAGGAATGCCAAGATTCTTCTAAACAATTTCTAATTTATGTAGTTTTCCTTTGAGATTACTAAAAAAAAATTTTATTTGAATTTGAAAAAAGTCTATCTTCTCCCAAAGATTAAGCTGATTTAGGTCAAAGTTCAATGTTTGCTAAATGAAAAGAACTAATGAGGGAAGTATGTATTTATTTATTTTTGTTTTAAAAGGCCTTATTTAWCATCTCTGTACTTAATACTTGCTAAGTGGTACTTTGAACAACCATTTTACACTCACTGGCCACTTTATTAGGTGCACTTGTCCAACTGCTCATTAACACAAATGTGGAATCAACCAATCACATGACAGCAACCCAGTGCATTTAGGCATGTAGACATGGTCAAGACAATCTCCTGCAGTTCAAACCGAGCATCAGAATGGGGAAGAAAGGTGAGTTAACTTAATTTGAACATGGCATGGTTGTTGGTACAAGACAGGCTGGTCTGAGTATTTCACAAACTGCTGATCTACTGGGATTTTCACCCATAACCATCTCTAGGGTTTACAGAGAATGGTCCGAAAAAGAGAAAATATCCAGTGAGCGGCAGTTCTATGGGCGCAAATACCTTGTTGATGCCAGAGGTCAGAGGAGAATGTACAGACTGGTTGGAGCTCATAGAGCGGCAACAGTAACTCAAAAAAACACTTGTTACAACTGAGGTATGCAAATGGGCTACAGTAGCAGAAGACAACACCAGATGCCACTCCTGTCAGCTAAGAACAGGAAACTAAGGCTACAATTCACATAGGCTCACCAAAATAGGTCAATATAGATTGGAAAAATTTTGTCTGGTCTGATGAGTCTCGATTTCTTTTGTAACATTCGGATGGTAGGGTCAGAATTTGGTGTCAAAAACATGAAAGCATGGATTCATCCTGCCTTGTATCAACTGTTCAGGCTGGTGGTGGTGCAATGGTGTGGGGGATATTTTCCCGGCACACTTTGGGCCCATGCGTACCAACTGAGTGTGTCAACACCACAGCCTACCTGAGTATTCCATGCTGTAATAGAACTAATACTTTAAGTTTAAGCAAACAATTCGTGACATCCTTTAATGACCTAGGTTTTCATGACATTCTGTTCATCTACATACAGAATGATTA